ATCTGGCTTAGTTTTTCTTTAATTTAAAAAATGCTCTTAATTAAATCTTTGCTTAGTAAAAAAATAAAATGACATATTTATATGTCTGATCTGCCATAGAGGTTACTTTTGATTACTCTCCTAATGATACATTTATATAATTAATGGCAACTGTTCTCAACACTGAGACATGCCCTAGCAATTATAATTGTTTAAATGATAAAATCACATTTGTGCTTTTGTTTTTAACTCTAAATGATATCTGAATGTTGTTTTAATAGATAAATAGGTCTTTGCATAGAAATAAAAATAGTAGACTGAAAATAGATATGGTAATACAAAGCTATCTATAATAAATCTGATTAGTGATAGAAATGAAATACGTATTTGTGACCTGGAAAATAAACATTATTTTAAAGTGTTCTGGTGATGAGTCTTTATCAATAAAATATGGCTCCCAAATCCCCAAAGATATGAAAAATGAACATCAAAAATACATTAATGTTCCTAGTTGCTAGATAAGTATTTTCATATTTCCAAATACAACTGGCATCAATTTTTACATTCTGTATTTATGGCTAAAAATTAGAATATAGTTGGTAGGTTTTAACTGGTTTTGTGTGATTATTTTTCTTTTTGAACAGCAATCTAAAGTGTAGAAGATTTTAGGATCTAAGTAACCATACCAGTGAATCCAAAGATTAATTCTGCTGGTTTTTATTATTATATTCAACATATTTTGTCTTTATTTACTTCATCCTTTTTGTCTACCAAAATATTTTATTAATGACATAATTTTGATAGAAGTAATAATTAACTTTTAAGTTTTTTATGGTAATATAATCACCTTGAAAATTGGAAAAAGTTTTAGAACTCCTAAGTTTTAATGTCACTTAGATATTAAAATATTAAATACATTAATATTATCTAAATTAAAAAGTTTGTGGATCACTAAATAAAGAAAAAATATTTATTTCCTTTTAAAAATATATATTTTTAAAATACGTATCTTTTGTCACATAAATCAGAGTTGACCTCGTGAATCAAAGTTTACAAATACAAATTCAAGAGAAAAAATAAAAATACGTAGTGGATAAAATACAAGTGGCTTGCAAATTTCATCTCTTGTACCTTATAATGAGGAAAAATTACTTTCAGTTTTATTCTCCAGATAGCTTGCTCTGTGACAAAATTGTAAGATTTCTTAAACTAAAATATAATAGAAGCCAATTCTTTGATACAGTCCTTAGGTAACATTAGTCAAAACTCCTACAAGGAAAGAAAATTTTGGCTTTGCAATGGCTCCAAGAAACATCAATTATAGGAACAGTCCCTATGTATTAGACCCCATATTCTGTAAAGGTGTTCCAGGATTATATTGCAACCTGGAGTCAGGAATGGACTCAGGAAAGGAAAGAGTCAACAAGTACCAGACATGCGATGCAGTAAGATCCTTAGTTGCCCTCCTACAACTTCAGCTCTGTATGTTCACATAGCACCCTTCCATAAAAAATCAGGTTTCTATTCCATCTCCATTTAAGTGCTATATTTTTGCAAAGCGGGGATGTAAGTTTGACACCACTCTTGATGAAGAGTGGCACAATATGTCACATTCAGAGTTCTTTAACATTAGAAATTTAGTCAATGGAAACTGAAAAAGAATCTTGAGAGCTGTCTTCTCTGTAACATCTTGCCTATTAAATGAATTTAATAATTTGATTTATATTCTAAATGATGTGCTCTTGCCAATGCAACAGTAATGTATGGATAGTTTTCACAATATTTATATGATGCAAACACGTACCCCTGAACAAATTTCTTAGGAATTGCTGTCATTTTGGGGGACCACTTTTCTCCAAAGAGTGTGATACATGCAATCTTTATTCCATCTCTTAATAGAAATTTCATGTCTCAAAAATTCAACATTTATCTTTAATCTTTATGTGATGCCAGATGCTAACTCCAAACCCCTTTTAAAAATACTTCAAAATGCCCCTTTAGATATGTGAACACATCTTAGTATTTTTATAAATAAATATTAATTCCCAATTTACTGTATTACCTTTCTGATACATTTACTTTAATATCTTTTACCCCCGTTTGAAGTCTGATTTTGGTCTTTTTCAGCTTTTAATTTCACGGCATGTGCTTCTTGCCCAATATTCTTTTAGAACCTCCGGCAGCCTCCTCCTGCTCTGAATGTTTACCTTTCTGTTCATGCTTTGACACAGTTGCTTTCTCTTTGTCCTCCTTTTCTTTAGGTTTTGATGGTGTTTTCTGTACTTCTTTTCCTTTTGCAGCTGTTTGCTTCACTTTCTCCTGTTTTCCACCTTTCACTTCCTTTTTAGTCTTGTCTTCACTCTTTTCTGCAGTCTTAGTTTTCTTCTCTTCTGTATGAAGTTAAGAGACGTTGAAATATTTTTGTTTATTTACAAACTTAATGTTTTATCTGTACTAGGTCATTAAGAAAAATTGGAAAAGAAAGAGGGAAGAAAGGAAAACAGTAGAAAAATACTGTTCTTAAACACTCATGACTATTATCAGGGTTTTATACAGTTTATAAAGTGCTATATTAGATAGACTACTAAAGTTTTGTGGCTCTTAATTTGTACATGAAAACACTACTTTTTAAGCTGATAGGAACTTAGCATGTCAATAAGGAGGTATTTGTAATATGCAGGGGATGGATATACAGGCATGTTCAGTGAAAGACAATGTCCATATCAAAGAGCCCAGTGAAGTCCTCTCCTTTTGTAAGTATGTAATCATTTTGCTCCGTAACTGAAAATCTTAAGGCTCATTCAAGAAACTGAAATGCCAACAAAATACTTTTGAAGACAACAACTAGGAATTCGAATGTAAAATTATCTGCATTGGTGGTGACTAACAGAAATAAACCAATGAAATCTATCAGAGGAAAACTAAGAGAGATATAGTCTAATGATTTGGCTTTGGAAAGACTGACAGTGCAGAAATTGAGGTATTGGCTCCTATTTACCTTAAGTCAGCGATAATTCTACTAGTTTTTAAAGCCCTTAAACATGTCCTTGGAAATTGAAAGGGGAATAAATAAAAATAAATAAAAAGACATACCTAAATTAGAATATATGTTTTGTTTTTTTTTTACATACACATATTCTTAATTTGATATTATCTGTATTTTGGAAGAGGGAACTGAGATGCAAATGAATTAGGTTGTGGATCATTCAAGCATCTTTTAGAAAGCAGTAACAATGTAGCAAATTATTTGTGGAAAATTGTTCATAATAGATGCTTCATATTGAACATTATTTATTGTATGTGACTACACATAACCACTACACACCACAGCAACTCTACTGCAATGTTGGAATCCTCTGTCTCATTTGCTAATGTACTATGTGGACTTTATTGTCACTCATGTTAAAGAATTTTATGAAAAAATGGTTTCTTGACTTTGGTACTCAAATGATGATTTCAGGCTAAGCCGAGATAATATTAGAAGGTCCCATTGAAAGAATGAAAATGATAATGCCAGATGCTGGTTAGATTGCAAAGCAAAAATCATCTGTGGTACAACACTTAATTGACTATGCCAGCACTTTCCAAAACACTGTTCCTCAAATACTTCAGATACTTTACAGGAAGATGTTGATGTCCTCATGACCAAATTCATTTGGAAACAATAAGCTAACCTGGTCCTTTAGCTTGGACTTTCTCAAGGCTAAAGTGTATTGAGAATTTTCAAGAAAGAGAATTATGATACACATATTATCCGATGTTGTTTAATCATAAAATTCTCATACAAATATTACTGAATTACTCCATAAACTCTCTCTCTCTCTCTCTCTCTCTCTCTTTTTTTTTCTGAGATGGAGCTTTGCTTTGTCATCCAGGCTGGAGTGCAGTGGCACAATCTCAGCTCACTGCAACCACCGCCTCCCAGTTTCAGGAGATTCTCCTGCCTCAGTCTCCCAAGTAACCAGGATTACAAGCACCCAGAACCATGCCTGGTTACTTTTGTATTTTTAGTAGAGACAGGGTTTCACATATCCATAAGTTTTCAATATGTTTGTGGCTTCTGTGACTACACTCAGGGAATTTTCTTCTTCTTCCTATAAATAATTTCTAAATCTCCTTTGCTGGTTTCTGTTCTTTCCTACAGTAAACTCATACATTTCCATAACTGGAACCAGCAGCTTTCTTCAGATGACTTTAAATTGACATCATTCCAGAATTCTACACTGAAATGTTTATTAGTGTCTGTCTGGGGAGAAAGTTTCAAAAGTTTCACTGCAGTAGTCAACAGCACCTCAATCTCATACAATTCATTATGTGTTCACCCCAAAAACATTTCTAGATCGTTTATGTTGACCTAGGCTCACAGATAGTTGCTGGAGCTCTAAAAATCAGCATAATAATAAAAATATCTGAATAAATTTCAGGATAGCAAAATTAAAACCCTGCAATATCTGGCTTCCTCCTATCTGCCATCGTCTGGCATCTTTCCAAAAGTTTCTGCCTTTACTGAACTGCTTTCTTTCACATGACTATTTTCTGCATTTTCCATTTTTCAAATATTGTCAGACTGCATTCTCTACAGTTTCTATATTTTTCACATATTTAAATTTTTTCTTTTTTTTTCTTGGAGACCAAGTCTTGCTCTGTTGCCCAGGCTGGAGTGCAATCTTAGCTCACTGCAACCTCCGCCTCCCAAGTTCAAGCAATTTTCCTGCCTCAGCATCCTGAGTAGCTGGAATTACAGTCACATGCCAACATGCCTGGCTAATTTTTTGTATTTTTAGTAGAGATGGGGTTTCACCATGTTGGCCAGGCTAGTCTTGAACTCCTGACCTCAGGTGATCCATCTGCCTCAACCTCCCAAAGTGCTGGTATTAAATTTCTTCATGGTCAATCACATGCAAAAAAGAAAAAAAAAGGCTTTCCCATATAAATTAATAATGTCTTCCCCAAAACTTCCATTTGTCTGAATTTTTATTGAAGTATACATTTTATTATCTATTATATATCTTGTATTACAGATGGTTGTTGATCTATCTTCCCTACCAGACAGAGAGTGCTTGAGGATCGGAATTCTATTATTCATTTTTGTATCACCATAGTGTCTAGCACAATGCTTTTTTCAGAGAAAACACAAGGTAAATAAATACTAGATTAGCAGTTTTGATGAAGGAGAGAGTAAATATTCCACTGTACTCGTATCATGTGTATTATAAAGTGATATAGAGACAGCATATGTAAATATGTGTTTAGAAATAAACTTACCTAAACCTGTTAATTTTGCCAACTGTTTTTTTTGTTTGTTTATACTAATTTGTGTGAAATTGTTACATTTGCTTACTCTAAATGACAGCTATCCACTCCTTGTAAGTTACGGTTGATTCAACCTTAATAGTATGGAATGAAAGTTGTGTGAAATTCAGATCTATTTTTAATGCCATTATAATTTTTTTTTTTTTTTTTTGAGATGGAGTTTCGCTCTTGTTACCCAGGCTGGAGTGCAATGGCGCGATCTCGGCTCACCGCAATCTCCGCCTCCTGGGTTCAGGCAATTCTCCTGCCTCAGCCTCCTGAGTAGCTGGGATTACAGGCACGTGCCACCATGCCCAGCTAATTTTTTGTATTTCTAGTAGAGACGGGGTTTCACCATGTTGACCAGGATGGTCTCGATCTCTTGACCTCGTGATCCACCCGCCTCGGCCTCCCAAAGTGCTGGGATTACAGGCGTGAGCCACCGCGCCCGGCCAATGCCATTATAATTTATAAGTGGGCAATGATTATTTTCTAAGTGGCAGAACCACATATATAGCAAACTCATTATAATTGACTTTAAGTATAAAAATAATAAAATATTTTCTACCTATTTTAGACACTTCTCTGTCACCTTCACCCTTGAAATAGATACCTTTGCCTCATAGGAAAAAAAATGGTGAGAACTAAACGATATGACTGTAATAAAGAAAATGTCATGAAACCAAAGCAATACCCAACTTCTATTTACTTTTAAGTTGAGTAGATATTCTTCAATTTTGTGCCAAAATATTTTTCCTGATTTTTCCCTGAGATAATTTAAGTGATGGACTTTATTAAGGGATTAAAAAACAAAAAGGATTGCCATGTTGTATTCAAATCACCTCGTTTTATTTAAGAAGGCATTTTATTCATGACTTTTGTCAAATGGAAAACAAAATATGCTAATCAAAAAATGACATCAGCATATTTGATTCAATCTCAGCATTAACATGATCCATTAAACTACTGAATCAGATTCAGAGTGTCTGATGCCAAAATATTAAATAGAACAGTATCCCTCAGTAAAAATATGAACATCCTATACATTTTTGGAGTTAGAAAATAACAAATTTTATCTTTCATTTCATGAAGAACTACAAACTGCTTTATTTCTCTCTGCTTCAGTTTCTTTGCATTAAAAAAAGAATCACCAGTATATCTGCTTCTTTCTCTATGGAAGCTGTGGAAATAAGTAACACTGAGCAAAAGAACTTTGAATTTTGCAAAGTAAGTAGGTAAACATTGTTAATATTAAATCTGCATAATCTACATGTCTAGAGCTCTTGGAGTTTCCCTAGAACTTACCCAGAGTTTAATGTACAGCAGGGATTACTATATCATTATTATTTTATATATGAAAAATCTAAGTATCAGAAAGCCATTTATCAAAAATGGTGCAACTAAATGAGTCAGGAATAGAAAAAGTAGAATCAGAATGCCTAACCCAATTTCTAATCACAGTAAGTTGCAGGTTATTAATATTAACCTAAAAAGATGATACAAAAAATGTTTTTCAAGACATATAAGGGCAGATATACACATACACAAACCAAGTAAAGTGATGTCTTCCTCAAAGTGACCAAGGCAGCAATAACCTCTCCACTTCATCAAACGCACAGACATCTGAAGGTTACACTGACTTCCACATCAATTAGCCTGACCCAAATTTGGCTCACCACACTCAACTTCTCTATTCATTATTGCCTTCTTCTTCTTCCCTGTCTTTGCTACTTTTAATGAACTACATAAATAGGTTAGCTTTCTCAATGACTATGGTGTCCTATACCTGTATTAAGGTAGACATTAAAGGTCTACTCTTCCCCAGAAGGAATCCCTGAAATGTTATAACCAATGGCTGCTTTTCAGCAAGCAGTACTTGCAACAGAGCAAGAAACATGCTGCATTCTATGCAAGTGCCTCTGGAAATCACAGCTCTTCAAAGGGACGTTCTACTTTAACGGGTCACACCTTTCAAAGGTACTTCATAATTTTTTTCTATCTTAAATGTCACACAGAAGGCTTATACCTTTTTTTATCTTATTTTGTTTTACCAGAAATCACCTATTATATAAAGAACACTTTCTATTAATTTCTTATAACTAACATAATACATACACATATAAAATAAAAATAAAAATACATATTGTATACAAACATGTATACACATATACATATACATGTTGTAAACACATATATATATATATACATACATATATGTATGCTTGTGTGTGAATGTCTATGTGTGTATCTCCCCTAGAATAATGATGTAAATATGTAAATGGAAAGTCTTTATGGCAAGCTGACTCAAGATGGCCCACAATGATTTCCAACTTGTGGCATTCATATCCTTGTGCAATCATCTTCCCTTCAATATGGGTTGGCCTAGGAATTTGCTGCTAACTCATAGTATATGACAAAGGTGATTGAATATGACTTCAATGATTAGTTTAGATAAGACTGTAATTTCAGTCTTCCTGACTGTTTCTCTCTCATTAGGTTTAATGAAGCCAGATGTCATGTTCATGAGACTCATGTGTCAAGGAACTGAAGATGTACCCCGGCCAACAGCCAGCCAAGAACTGATTGGCTAAGAGTCCTTGAGGAAGTGAATCTCACCAACAACCATATAGTGAACTTGAAAATGATCCTTCCTCAGTTGAACCCTCAGATGAGACTGAAGTCCTAATTAACAGTTTGTTCTGCCTTGCGAGAATGTGAAACAGAGGCCTAAGCTAAGGCATGCCCAGATTCTTGATCCACAGAAACTGTGTGATAATAAATGTGCATTGATTTAAGCCTCACATTTCATGGTAATGCTTTGCAAAGCAATAAATAACTAATTTATTTAGCAAATTTTTTGAATAACAGTATTTAGCAAATTTTTTGAAAAACAAAGTGATGCTTGAAGACCTACATTTAATTATTTTTATAAAGGAAATTCAATTTATACTCACTTCACCTGGATTTTTCTCTTAATCCGATCACATGCTAGTTTTATGACCTGGCAAAAATTTTTTTTTCTCTCTCTAGAGGTCACTTTCTTCATATATTAAACTAGGTAATTCATTTATATGATCTTAAAAATGTCTACTAGATTTCATACAGCTATCAATATGATTTCATATATACGTAATGAAATAAATTAAATATATATACCAAATTTATTTTCATTTGCATTTATGAAACAGGAGAAACAAAATAAAATTATATTTATTTATTTTAATTTAGTCTTGAAAGTAAATTCATGTTACCTTCTAAAAATGTTTCAATTTATAGTTTATATTAGCTTTAATAAAATGGTTATCTAATGGAAAAATTTATTAAAACTATATCTGCTTCAAATATCTCATTATTTTATGTTTAGTAGATAATCAAACTTAATCTTAAAAGTAATTTCTAATTTTTGCATAAATGGTTAGTTTCTTAAAAATGCTGAATTGAGGCTTCTGATTACATAAAACCTGTATTTTAAAAGATAAGCAATTTAAATGTACGGAATAAGATTAAATTACTGGATAAAATCCATTTTTTTTCTAGTAATGGGTAGATAAATTTAATACAGAAAAATTTTGTTATTCAATATGCCAAAATATATAATATTAAAGTGATATACAAATACATATATTTGGGATATTATTAAGGTATTCTCAGTTCTCAAACTCTTAAAATATTGACAAAGATTTATGCATGACCTTTTTTATTTTTTTTAGACAGAGTCTCTCTGTTGCCGAGGCTACAGTGCAGTGGCAAGATCTTAGCTCACTGCAACTTCCACCTCCAGGGTTCAGGGGATTCTCCTGCCTCAGCCTACCAAGTAGCTGGGATTACAAATGTGTGCCACCACACCTGGCTAATTTTTGAATTTTTAGAAGTGACAGGGTTTCACTATGTTGGCCAGGCTGGTTTTGAACTCCTGACCTCAAGTGATTCACCTGCCTCAGTCTCACAAAGTGCTGGGATTACAAGTGTGAGCCACTATGCCCAGCTAACCCTTTCTTTTTGATACAAGAAAATCATTTACTATGCAGAAGTTGTCCATTTGACTATTTTTGCTTTGATTGTCTGTGCTTTTGAGGGCTTACTCAAGAAATCTTTGCACATACCAATGTTCTGAAGCATCTCCCTAATTTTTTTTTCAAGTAGTTTCATGTCCTACACTTAAGTCTTTAATTCATTTTGAATTAATTTTTTATATGGCGAAAGATAAGGGTCTACTTTCATTCCTCTGCATATCCAGTTTTCCTATTACAATTTATTGAAGAGACAGTCCTTTCCTCAATATATGTTCTTGGTGCTCAGTAACAAAATAAAATGACTATAGTTAACAATAATTTATTGTATATTTCAAAATAACTAGAGAGTGAATTTGGAATGCTCCCAATGCAAAGAAATGGTAAATGTTTGAGGCGATGAATATCTCTACTTTTAAAGACTCGTGGTATTACACTGAGCTCACCTGGATAATCCAAGAGAACCTTCCTGTTTTAGATCAATCTTCGCTACTTCTGCAAAAATATTTTTTGCCACGTAATGTAACAGAACCACAGGGATGACACCAAGGGGTGAATGAGGGTTATGGGGCTCAAAATACCATCTACCACATATGGTGAAGCTCTTCATTTTCCTCTCACATTTTGAGATTCTCTGTTATTATAAGTATTCAGTTTAATTATTGTTTTAGATATTTAATTTTAATGGAAGACCAAATTAACTTTTTAATGTAAATAAAATAATAAAAGTTTACAAATATCCAACTATCCATTACCCAAAAGTTAATCTTTCAAAATATTCCTTTATGGAAATAATAAATTGAAAAGTTACCTTTTGCCATTGTCTTTGTTTCTGGTTTTTCTTTTTTCTCAATTTTTTCCTTGTGAGTTGCTTAAACAGAAAATTTTACATTAGTACACATTTTAATAGATTTTGAAACGATGCTTTCTTTTGACCTCAATTTAATAAGCACTAAAATCTAATATGTAATATTTTGAAAATTTATCACATTAATAAGTCTAATTCAGAAATAAAGAGTTACCAATGTAATAACAGCTGTATAGAATTCAATGTAAAGGTGCAGGCATTAAGACTTAGAAAGCACTTTGAAAATCAGTTCCACTCTTTTTAAAGTTATTATTTCAAATAAATAAAGCTTTCAGGGAAGACAAACTGAGAGTGAAAACTTTTTATAAGAATTTGTCAAAAAAATCATTATGTTTATTTTTAAATTTCAAATATATTAAATTGTGTGGTTAGGTAGTTTTCCAAATCATCATACATTTTTCAATATTTACATACTATTTTTTCAAGAATAACAATGGTAATTAAACTATCAAAATGAAACAGTAAAATATGAGATTTAATTGAGTAGTTGATAAAGTCTGGATATTGAATTACTAGAGGAAAAATTAATTCCACATATTTCCATTTCTACAACTATGTAACAAGAATAGTAATAACATACATCAGCTTTACTTACATCATTAAAAATGCTTAAAATATGTATTCAAAAATCTATTCTTTTTAAATACAGTTGATGAATAGTGTCCTTCAGAATCTTGGAAAGATGATTTAAGCCTCAGAAAGCCTAACGTTCAGTTGAAGACCAAGTGCCCTTGATAGATGCAGAGCTGCTGAGAGAGCAGGTGCCTCCTCCTCCAGTGTTTCAGCCTCTCCACCACTCACACCTGCCCACAGCCACCTCCACTACCACTTGGGATTATGGGTAATAGCTTAGACAATGTTAACAGAAGGAGCATTATGCTAGGCTAAGCAGGGCACTATGCACACAAGGTCACAGGACTATATTATAATAACATATCTCCTAAAATAGAAACATCCTTTAATTGGCATACAGTAAATAAAAGAGCACTTATAATGCAGCATTTTATTTCTGCTTTTCAATCTGAATACATGTTTTTTTGCAGCACTTAACAATTTAAGGGCAAAAAAAAATCCCAACTTTTTTTTTTTTTAACAAAAAACATTTAGCTACTGTGAGGTTTGAAAAAAAAATCACAAGAAATAGCAGATTATTTCATTGAGTCAGAATATGCAGAACCTGTTGCTAATAAGTTTCCTTAACCCAAAAGCAGACAGGAAATGGTCACCTATTTCTAGAAGAGAGAAAGGAGATGGCTATATTGAAGTTCATGGAAATGGACACAAAGTAAACAAGAAGAAAAGTTACAACTATTTAATTGAATTTTTTTTTCCATAGGTTATTAGGATACAGGTGGATTTTGGTTACATAAGTTTTTTGATGGTGACTTTATGAGATTTTGATATTTTCAAGTGTAAATATACCATAAATAATATATAAACATGCTTCAAAGGATCTGATTTCTAAATGTTATAACACGTTCTACCTAAGTGGAATGTTTAACAAAACAAAAAGTTCAACAGACTATTCATACTCTGGATGCCTAAATCAGCTGAAGTCTAGCCCAGTTATCCTAGACACAATCCACTCTAAAACAATAGCAAAAATTAAGTTACAATCTTACTTCACATCATACATTGAAGTGGATTTTTGAGGAATTAAAGTTAAATTTAAAACATGAAACAATCTTTTTTGACTGGGCACTGTGCCTTACACCCGTAATCCCAGCACTTTGGGAGGCTGAGGTGAGCAGATCACTTGAGGTCAGGAGTTTGAGACCAGTCTAGCCAACATGGCAAAACCCCATCTCTACTAAAAATACAAAAATTAGCCGGGTGTGGTGGTGCATGTTTGTAATTCTAGCTACTAGGGATGCTGAGCCATGAGGATCCTTGAACCCTGGAGGCAGAGGTTGCAGTGAGCCGAGGTCACACCACTGCATTCCAGCCTGGGTGGCAGAGTGAGACTCTGTCTCAAAAAAAAAACAAAAAACAAAAAAACCAAAAAAGCAATACAAACACACAAAAAAATCTGTTTTAAACTTGAGGAAAATATTAGTGGCTAATGAATTGATTCTTGAATCATAATTCAAAGCCAGAAACAAGACAATATAAACATACACAACCACCTAAAAATTCAAGAATCTAAACATATATGAATGCACACATGTCCATTCACATGGACAGAAAGCATAACATTAACTGTGAAACAAACTCAGAAAAATATTTGAAAAGAAGTTACAGGCTAAAGGGTACACATACCCAACACACACACACACACACACACACACACACGCGCACACACACACACACATCATTTGGAGAAATGGACAGTGAGTGTGAACAGTTACACACAAAGATTTATACATCACTAAAAACCATATTTGACTCTTTCCACTTATAAATAGTAGCAGTTAATACTTTGCAGGGACATCGACGAAGCTGGAAACCATCATTCTCAGCAAACTAACACAGGAACAGAAAACCAAACACTGTATGTTCTCACTCATAAGTGGGAGTTGAACATTGAGAACACATAGACTCGGTGAAAGCATCACACACCAGGGCTTGTCAGGGGGTTAGAAGCAAGGGGAGGGAGAGAATTAGGACAAATACCTAATGTATGCAGGGCTTAAAACCTAGATGATGGGTTGATAGGTGCAGCAAACCACCTGGCACATGTAAAGCTATGTAACAAACCTGTGCGTGTATCCCATAACTTAAAGTAAAATTTGAGAAAAACTAAGAAAACATGACACATTCAAAGTAACACAGTAACACTCCAGTAACAGTCCTCTAGAAAAGGGAAATCTATGAAATTCCTGTTCAAAATAATAATCATAAGAAAACCCAGAGAGAAAAAAGAGCACAAATAAACAATACAAAGGAAGGAGAAAAATAATCCATGATATGAATGAGAAATTTT